TGCATTCGGATACTTCATACAACGGCAGCAGGGTTTTTTTTCGACTCATATCACTCGTATCGACTCATATCAGGACGTTAGACGAGAGAACGAAACGGACAACGAAGAGAGGAATCAGATGAAGCGAATCGCAAGCGAGTCATTCCCTGGCGCGGATCCACGCGGCCGCCCGATCGCTGCCAGGCTTCAGCATCTCGCTGCACGTTTCTCAGAGCGATCTAATTCCGACTTCGCATTGCCCACGTGAAACGAATATAGCGGTCGCCGTGACATAATAAACTCTCTGACGGCGGTACAACGCCGGTCAATTATTCATTACGACGGCGAAACGAGTGGCAACTTAATTAAACTAAGAGCGCTCGATTAATTAATTCGCCACGTTTCACATGGCTCGGTGCACGCGTGTGTAAAGTATGCACGGTGATAAGAAAAAAAATTGCGAGTAATCGCAAGCGAAGAAAGTTCTTATCGTCCAGCGATAGGTACGAAATAAAACGCTTGATCGAATCCGAGGCGCCGACGCGCGACGTGACCGTGGGTTGATAAAACCCGTTCGTTTGTTCGCGCAGAAGGAGTTACCACGTGCGCGGTCGCGAATACCGACCGAAGGGTTTAAAGCCCTATGCACGTGGCACGTGACGGTGCGTGATCCGCGAAATCGAGCGCGTTGCTGATTCGCGAGAAAACAAGCGTGACACACGCAAATTTCGTCGACGAGATTGCGTGCAAAAATGATGTAAATGTATAAGGTGAAGCATTCCCAAAGTTGCGCAGTGGACGACCAATCAGAGATTCGCCTCATATTGTTATTTCCATGGCAATGCTTCACCTTGTATATTTACACCATAGGACTATGTCGTTGTGTATAAATACGCCCTGTGCTACGTTGTTATTTCGGCAAGCGAAAGGATTAAATTTTGAAAGCGATCAAAATTCGATAATTTTTCGGGCGGGAGAAAAATGATATAAATGATTCGCGCTAATCGTATTACGTGTCGACGAACGCGCGGTACTTAAATGTACAATTCTTTCGAACGCGCTCCCGTTTAATATCCCGATAATGCGAATTTTAAAATCGGCAGCTGCTGAAATCGGAATACCGATTTAGAAGCGAAACGAGCTTTTTATCAAGCGCGATCAATAGAGAATTATATTTTATGTAGAACTGCAGAGAACTAAAACAGGTAGATCGTGTAATAAAACTTTTAACGATACAGTATGTCCTCTTCGCGCAATTCCGTTTGCTTTTTTTCTTTTAGATTCTTTTAGCTCGGTGTTATTCGTATATTTAGTAATTATTTAGAGAATTGGAGCTTTCCTCAATTTTAAAGTTTTTCCATTTTTTTTCTTTGCGAGTGTATTTTGTTGTCAAGTTAAAGAATTGTATGAGGGAGATAGAAAAGCTATTTTTTTACGAATTTTAGGAACTTCTCAATTAGCGTTTTTTTGGGAAGAGGTAAAAAGCTATATTTTAGATAAATATATTGATTAAACACACGATAAACGTGTGAACTCTATACTTCAACATAAAAATGAAGTTTAAAGTATGGAGTTAAATATATACGTCAATTAATAACTGTTTGACCTGAAAAAATAGGTAGATCATATATTCTTCGACCTCCCCCGATTGATTATCGGAGTCACAACAAAGCTTTTTGTCAAGACAGCCGTAAAAAAAATATATAAATTAGAAAAAACCTCAATTTTTAATAATTACTATCAAATTAGAATAAACTGCTATTCCGAGCTTAGTTTGTTAGTAGCCTAATACTACTATTTCTTGTGCGTATATGTACACATATTTTTTCCAACTTACAATTAGTAAACTGCGCGCTGAGGAACATTAAAATCCTTTCTCTTCACCCCCCCCCCCCCCCGTAATTAAATCAATTCCATTTTATTGATGCTATAAGCCATAAACATCTAAATAACTACGGAATTTATTGCGAAAAAAATATTACATCAGCCAGAAATAATAACTAAGCTACTAATTATAAGATCCACACACAAGCTCGGACCGTAAATGACATTTTATTCTAATTTGATTGCACATCATAATATCACGGTCTTATTTCTCTTAGTATTAAATAATTACCATTTTCTCTTATACAAACTTCGCGTATGACGTTAATCGGATAATCGAATAAACGCATCGAGAGTTAAATAGACGCGAGGGAGGAAATCCAAGAAGCCAAAATACAGGGAGAAAGCCCGTTAAACCTGAGCTCACCCTGAAAACGTTGCGGTTTCATGGTGCGCGCTCTATCCACAATGAAATATAAGTAGAGCGGCGTTACGAGAGCGCTAACTCGCGCGCTCGCGCCCCGGCAAAAAGGACGCCGACGGCGCGCGGCAAATAATACGCCGTCGGACACGTATTGGATACTGTTGCGCGGTGTAATCGAATATTACTCATAAAATGTGGCGCGCGCGCGCGAAAGCCGAGCCGGTGCGCGTAGCTGCTTTCATAAACACGGCTAAAAGCTCCGGGGCAGGGCTCTGCGCCCGGGAGCCACCTGCACCACCGGCGTAGAGCAGTAGAGCTCCGCATAAACACACCGTGTGTGACAACTGTGACGTACCTACATACGCAGCTTCGATTTCCGCGCCGAGGACGGCTCCGAAAACCCATTCCTGGGCGTCACCGATGCGAAGTCACGCGCTCGCGGCGAGCGACAAACGATTCGAGGAATTATTACCTCGCGGGTTATCAGAGCGCGATGCGTCGCGTCTCTCGCGCTTAATCAACGCACGGCTCGCGTCTCGCTTTTGTGTTATTGAAGAACGATCACGGAGGACCGGGTCAAAGGATATTTCTCTTTTTTTTTTATTTTTGTAAAAGAGCAAACGCATACGAGCGATATCAGATAGCCGTTATATCGCAATCGTCGGAGATTAAAGGACTCTGGCGTTGCTTAATTAATTTTCCACGGTAGAGCTCTCTTCTTTTTCTCGTTCGCCTCGTCGAACTGCACGCGATTACAGAACACGGGCAGACGGAGTACCAGCTGCACACGTGTACTCTTACAAAGGCAGAGAGCTGGAAGAGGAAGAGAGAAAGAAAGAGAGAAAAAGAGAAGTAATGCATAACAAAGAAAAGCTTCCATACCTTCTATCGCTCTTTCTTTCTCTTCCGATAATCTCTCTCTCGCTCCACGTACAATCGCAAATCAATGCATTATCTCTCCCCCTCTCTCTTCAACTCCAACATAGCATTCCGACATTCTGACATATACCGAGACTACGTTCTTCCCTTTCCCGTCCGCCCGTACGTTCGTACATTCGGCTGTCACTCTCACTTCCCTCTTTCTCCCTCCTCTCTCCCTCTCCCGAGCTTGTATCTTACGACGAAACTATTCCATTTATCATCTATCTAGATCTAGTGTCGTCTTACCCGTTCATACTGCCGTCAGCTCCCAGCGTCGACGAGCCGGCGCGTTTCCCAGGTCGGCGACGGGCGCGAGGTTAGGTCGGCCGCCAGCACGTCGGATGCCGCACGTCGCTAGGTCGCCGCCGCCGCTCAGCACGGCTGCGTGTCAGTCAGCAGGCGGTGAGGAGCGCGCCGCGAGAGAAAACAACAGGTTGCATGCACCACCGCCGCCGTCGTCGGTCGCGAGATATGGCGGAGAGACGACGATATCGACGAGAGCGAGCGCGTTACGGACGGGCGGACGGTGGATCGACCGCGGACGCGACGGTGACGGATAACCACGCGACTAGGAGAAACCGAGCGACGTGACGCGACGTGACGCGATGCGACGTGGACGCGGCGCGATGCAACAGCCCGTCTCCCCCTCGACGCGTTTCTTCCTTTTCCGTCTGTCTGCCTCTGCACACTCCCTCGACCAGCCGTTGCCAGCCGCGTGGCGAGGGGCCACGAGAAAGGAGCGCGACGGCGACGTTACGAGACGGCCGCACTCGCGACGACAACGATCCCTCCGTCGCGTCGGTCGGATTTTCCGCGACGAACCCGAATCCGTACCTCACACGATTTATTCCGCGAGGACCGCACGCTCGAGGATACACGCTCGCGATATCCGCCGGCACACGCCCGGGAACGCGGAGGGGGAGGTCTACTTTGCCGTGACAACCTGACAACGCGACGAGTAAACCGCGGAACCGCGAGCGGACACGCGCTGGCGCTCGATTTTCTCGGCGCTGCGCCGGCCGCGAGGTGCATCGCGATCACCGTGCATCGTTGCGCCCGACGCGCGACCCTTTCGCGCACCGTGCCGCCATCTCGCGGCGGCGGAGCGCGTCTCTCGCGCCGGCGACGTGACGAAATTAAAATTTAAAGCCGAAAATCGGACAAGAGCGTCCAACACGAATCGGTTTTTCGTAATTGTTATCTTTTATTACATGGATCTTTTTTTTATTCGTCACGCAAGTCTACTTGCGAAAATCCACTTTATCTACAGCCGATGAACTCTCGCGAGTTAAAGATTTAATTTTTTCTTTTTTCCATTGACGATGAAGTATCGTGTTGAGATTTCGGCGATGAACTATATTAAAGATCAACAGTTCTACATAAAGCTTTTTGGAAATAATTGAAATATTGATTGATCGTTGATAAAGATTGCAATAATAAAGGGCACGCACCGACTTATAGATTTAGCTATAGGACATTAGGTCATAAGAAATATTTAATAATCACGTAAGTAATACCATTTGATAAATTTGATAGGAAACGAATAGAAAACTATATATACTTCGAAAGAAAGTTTTAAAAAAGTACAATTATCAGGCTTGGAGATGATAAAAAACGATAGTCTTAAATATAGGAATGTATAAATTTATTATTCTGTTCATTAAATCAGATACAAGCTTCCCGATAACGATTCGCAAACATTATTCTTATATCGATGAGATAAAAACGCGATCTGATCGAGAAACGGTACCGTACGCTAACGCCATCTTGGAAATTATCGCGGGCAAGATAAAAGAGCCGCCGACTGATAAATTTGCCTATTGAACAGAATGGATCGACCAAATACGTATATCTAAGGCTCGCACAGAGTCAGCCGATCACGATCCTTCATGTCGATCAATACCTTCCCGCTCGGCACCGTCGCGTGATAATTGAACGCATCATTGACGCGGTGCAGGCCGAAAATCGCTGAGATCCGAGGACGAATCGCGCATTCCGACTTGTAGTCCAACACATGCTGCATGGTCTCTCTGCACGGAAACATGTTCCGGTTATGTACTCGGTCAATTGAGTGATCGAGGTCTTAAAAATACAATGTCGACCTGTACACTAAAGCGTCGGCGACTTTGTAATGCTCCGCGGCGACTGCAAACATCGTGCAGTTCGCTGGCATGAAGGAAAGATCGAGAGATCGTTTGTTTCGCGCACCACCGAGGACACCGACCAGACCGTCGTATTCCAAGCTAAAAAAGAAGATCATAATATGCGCCATGTATAGTATAGTAACTCCGTATCGAAGACTACGGACGGAATTTATAATTTGATCTTGTATTCAAGATCGTCTTACACTGTTAGACTGTTAAAGGATATTAAAGGATGAAATTTAAATCAACACCTTGAGTTAAATAACATTTTATATATGTATATGTATATCATATACATTTTAATTACTTCTGTAACTATTAATTTCTTTACTTGCGCATTACGTACCGCGCCGCCTGACTCGTATCGCCGTCTATTAATTCGTTTTAAATAACATTTTGTTATTTTTAACTACCATATGTGTCGAAATTTATTATTTTAACAAAAACCAGTATTATTTTAACTTTATTGTTTTAGTTAAATTGTTAAATTAACGATATATTGAGTGGGAACAGTGGCGACCTACAGAAATGATTAAAAATGACTCAAAGGTATAGTTTGACAGTTCAAATTCTAATCTTCAATTTGCAATCCACGATTTCCAATGCATAGTCTGATGTCTGATATAAAAGTTTACGTCGCTGATGTTCGCGATTAGCCTGGAAAGTCGCAAACGTGTCCTTTTAGGCGAGTCTTAACATCTCGGACGATCTACTTTCCACGTTTCTAACTTCCGTTTCACAATCGCGATTCTTGCTATACCTCCGACTATCAAAAGGAACCTCGTAATCTAGTCTCGTAACATGGCATGCGTGATTTCACCATTTGATAGCATTCTGAAAGCACGGCCCGCCTTCGGTCTCGATCATCACGCGCACTTCTTCCTTCCCGCCGATTTTCTTCAACTTGTACGGCAGGCAATGTCCGCTTCTGCGTATCACGGTCGCGCCGAGATCCGCACACAACTCGGCTCGTTTTGCATCGTCGCATAGAGCTATCGGCTGTAAAGGAAAGAGATAGAAAATTCCGCCTTTTTTGAATAATTATTAATTACCTGCGAAGTAATTAAACAAATAATTAAAACGAACTAAATAATAAGTAGCTTTACAGAAAGAAATATACATATATTCGTGCAATGGGAACTTGATCTCAGTCATTACATCGATGAAATCATAAACAAGTATGATATATATTCTCCAAAAAAAGCATGTAGTTTTCATTCTTGTCTCTCATTACACGTTTATCGTAATGAAAATAATGAGATTGAAATAGGTATGTACTTTCGCTCCGAAGACTCGAGTGGCAAGATCGATGACGGCGAGAGCAGAGCGCGAGTGTCTCGCGTTAACAAGGAAGCATTCGTTTCTCTGGATGCGTGCTCGACGTCCGATCGCCAGTAACGCCGAGAAATAATCGTCCGTGACGGCCGCTGCGTTTTTCAGAGACACCCGTCTCATTAATCTAAACACGTCCTAACATTTACCAGGCTCGATTATTCTCTCAGCGGGGACCCGATCCCGGCGGAATGCGCGGCGCGCGTGAAGAAAGTCGGCGTGCGCAAACCGACACGGTGTACGGTATTTACAAATTACAAGTCTCACGGCGGTATCCGCGAACGGATCTGAAGCATATATACGAATTGAGATACGCCTCTCCTCTTCAGGGTAAAACACGCCCTACCTACTCTGTAATGAGCCAGACAGCTCTCGGCGAGACCGCCGCAGACGGGATAGTTGTGCACGACGACTTCCTCGCCCATCTGGTAGCCTGTCCTCTCGTGTGCCAGTCTGCCCATTTCCAGAATCGTGCCCGACACCTCGAAACCGAGGACCATGGCCGGCTCCGGGGTTCTGCGGTGTTCGCCGCGCCAGAGGAGCACGTCGCTTCCGGTGAGCCCGCAGAAGCGCACGTCCACGCGGACCTTTCGACGAAACGCATTGCACCTCGCGAATTTCGCGTGGAGGAAAGGACGAAGGATCCCCGCGATCGGAGGAGAACGAACGGCGCGCGTCGCCGGCGAGCGAGCGAGCGGGCGGAGAAAGTGTCTATCGCTCGCTGTGTGAATTTCAGCCCGGCGACTTTTAACCTTCGTGTTCGGATCGCGAATCGATCCTTAAGTGAAAGCGAGATTTTCACAAGGCGAAGCGACGGGTATCGCCGCGACGCCTTATGAAATTCCGCGATTAGGCCGCGTTGGTCGCGACATTGCAACGCGTAGAGCGGCGTCAAAGTTCACCGAGAGACTGGCGGTTTATTTTGCCAGTACGACTATCTTAATTCCGCGTAGAAATTGCAATGCCGCGTGGAGAGCAGGAAGTAGCGATTAATCCGCAATGATATAGGAAAGGAAGTGTGGCTGGATTCGAGTTAAATGCGAAAACATTGAACAAAGTTTCTTTGAGAAACTTTAATAAAAACGTTTTATTAAAGACGGCTTTAAATGTCTTTTAGACACATATATCTAAAAGATGTCTTATAGATGTCTGCAAGACGTCTTTCAAGCATGCTGTCTGAATATTTTATAATGCAGTTAAGATGGCCAGGAGACAGACCACATGGAAGAACGTTTTCTTTCTAAGAACCTGTGTTTTCTGAATCGCCTCTTCAGGAATGTACTCCAGTTTCAGATTACGTGGTCCATGCAGTACCGCAGCTTGTAGTTTCCTTCCGGTTTGCGTGCTCCGCGTTGGCTCCACCACCTTCCGAATTCTTTCCAAACATGTGGCAAGCTTACCATATCGCATAAATATCTTGGAACTTTTCTCGGCAACAGCTCGCGGCTCAGCGAGCAACTTCATAATTTATAACCTGTTATCGCGTCTATAGACAGTTTCCTGCAAATTCCTCCTTTCAGGTCGCTCGGAAAAAAGACGATCGCATAGCCAATCGATCATACTTACGTTTTCTCTCCGCGCGTGATCATCTCCTTTGTAAAAAATGACAAGGTTTCTAATCTAATGATCGCTAAATATCGCCACATAAAAATTCGCAAACCGAAATATTTCTGCAAAATACAAAATCTATGACAGAGTGTATACAAGTTTGCTAGATCTTTTATTATTTTAAGGGATTCATTTCCCCTCAATCCTGTAAAAGTGTAAAATCTAGTTTTAAAGTATCGATCTTTTGTTTTTCTGAAACTTGCGGTAGCTCAATGCTTCCTATGACGGTCTTATAATTTTAATCTTGGTTTAACTTACTTTTTATTTCTTTCTAGTTCTAAGAGTTAGAAAGAGATAAATAGTAAACCAATAGATAAAAATTAATCTAAATTGGTAGAAATAGACAATAGGACAATATTCATAGTCAGATCTTAAGATCGTCTGGTCGAAAGCAGTCTTAAGACTGCATCCGGACTATGAATACGCTTCAGATGCGGTTCGCGATTTGTTCGACGCTCCATTCTTCCTGTATAAAAACCGCCATCAGGTTTACCTACCATCTCCAGCCACTCGTACCCCCCAAGGTAAGCGACTCTCTCGCGAGAGGCAGGCGAGCCCTCGCCTCGGTCTCTCTATAGGGCTGGCTCTAGCGCGCGTTCGACCTTCTGGCCGCTCCTAAGATCCTCATAAGGTTGTTTATCTATTCGCTGCTTTTGGCATTTACCTCTCGCGTTTGTCCCAAGCTAGACCGGCTCGTGGAACACGCACAGCTTAATGGCCCCGGCCGCTTAAGCTGCGCGACGACGACGTCGTCATAACTCACGCCTACTCGTTTCCTGTTCCCTGTGTCGCGCCACCGTTTATCGTCCACCTTACCCTCGCACGAGATGTTCTCCTGTTCATGTGAGACGGAATTGACGCTAGACCGATCGAATAAGGGTGTGGGCCACTCCGGCCTACCCTTTCCATCGTCGCTCGGTCTTATATACCCCTAATCGCCAGCCGAGTCAGTTCGCACCGTTTGTAAAAACTCACATAACGGCATCCGCGTCTACGGTCGCGGTGAAATTACGCTCGTGTAATCCTAATCGGTACCGTGCACACGAGAAGTGGTGGATGTGAACCATCTTGCGGAACGGTGAAAGCGTATCATCGGGCTGAAGAGAGAGGGAGAGAGAGGGAGACGCGGAGTGTCTCGAGACGTCTCTTTCTCTCGAGCGAGAGGAGGCCGCCGTGCTTTTTATAGTATCCTTGGACGCCAGGACGAAATTTGTTCGAACCTGCTCAACCGTAACTGATTCGGCACCGCACGGGCGAGTTTAATGCTCGGTGCGCGCGACTGAAATGATACGCGACGCCGTTCATGATATCCTGATGGGGCGCAGTCTGAGTTTGGTATCAAATGGCTGCCGACGATAGGACGAGTCACGAAGCAAAACGAGGATCCCGCGTCGTCATCTTGCGCCGCGCCGCTGAGTGAGAACAGCAGCAATGGCACCCCGTATAGGCATTTATCGGCGGAAATGGGCGGACGCGTCCGCTCGAATATAGCGTCTGCCATCGCGATATGAATGCTGGCACGTTTACCGTACAGACCGCTACAGAATCTTTAGACAATCTTTTCACGAATTTTGTTGCCAATTCAATTTTTGCTTAAAAATAATCGAATTTTATCACGTAACATCATATATCTCTATTAAATCAAATCTTGAACAAACATTCTGTTGGAGTAAAGTATTTATTAATCGATGTACTCTTTCCGGGAAGCATAGTCCGTTAAAAGCAAACCCTTTGAAACAAAAATTGACTTTAGATTGGCTAAAGAATAACCGAAGAAAATTTGAAGAGGATTTTCGCAACAAAAAAAATGTTCCTATGATAATTGCTTCTTCTTTTAAAAGATTCCATAGGAACGCTCTATACTTTCGAATACCGGGGAAAGCCTATACCATAGAAGCAAGATATTTTCCCAGCATACAGCTTTATTTACAGATAGATAATGCTCACAGAAAACTGTATCATCACGTCGAACGTCTCGAAATCTCACGTCGAGCACTCGCGCTTGGTCCGCGCTTGAAAACCGCGAGTAGTCACTGTCTTTCCGAGCATGCCATAGGCTAAGTGAGGGAACCCATGAGGCCGTCTTCGCGCGTCCGATCTGCCTCCATCATCTCGTGCACTCCTGATCGGCCGGTAGTCCCACTTTCTTTCAAAGCCGCTGAAGCGGCAAATCTTTTTACCCTCCGGGGGATTAACAAAGGGCGGCCGATTAGGCACTCATGAGCGATCCTGAGGCCTGATGTGATCCCGATCTTTCTGGAACCGTCTTCAGGGACGAGTCCGCACCCTTCGGACGCGCGGACGCGGACGCCGCGCCGAGGAACGCGCGCGGTGCAAGGCGCGGGTCGATAATAGAATTAAGCTCGCTCGTGCGCGTGCTTTATTCATTTGGCACGAGGCGCGTCGGCTCAATATACATTTGCATTTCAACGCGGACAGATCAGGTTGCATTGGCAATTTGCGTGGAACGTTGTAGAATAAATAAATTCGAACTGCAGAATTTTATTTGTCGAAACTAAAAGTTTGTAAAGAGAAAATGTAGAAAAACATTGGGAGAATCATCAAGCGAGTCGCAACTTTTGAAAGGTAGACTTAAAACTTAAAACTCCTTTGTTGTGTGCGTTAAAATTAATAATGATCTAGAGATAGAAGCTGAGAAATTATATCAAATCCGATTGTTACGCCGCGAGGACCGTTGTGCCGGTGAACGGAAATGGATATACGTATCTCGCAAACAACGCGGCGGAGGAAGGCTTTGTTGGCAACAACAAACGTTATCATCAAGATACGCATCGCGCATCTCGGAGGTGTGGCTCCTGAGGGATGAGTCCACTTTGCATAGTCCTATGCTCCCCTGATCGCAGGTGTTTCGTATTACACGTGGCCGTAATCCCTGGAACACCCTGGACGACGTCGACGCCAGACGTCAACGGCGCGCGGCGCGCGCCGGGCCGGGCGGTACCGGCGGCGAGCGACGAGACCCGTGGGAATCCTCGTTCATAATTGCTGCCCCGGACGTTCGTGTAAAATTAGCATATTAATAAGAAAGACGGCGACAGCGGCCAGGATAGTAGGATGAAACCGCAGGAGAACCCGCGCCGCGCCGTGCGGTTCCTGCGGCCGGAGCGACGGCGACGGCCGGAGGATCCTTCGAGCCTCCTCGGGCGCTCTGCATCCCTGATGGCCGAGTCTCCGCATTTAGAACTCAATGGAGCGAAACTAATTGCCGTCATTATGACGCCACCGTGGATCCCGCTGGCGAACACCGCGAAGACCGCGATGATGCGCCCGGTGCGAATCCGCGCACCGATACACACATATATGCGCAGCACGCACCGCAATGCGCATTAGCTCCGTAGCTCCCCGTCGAAACTCGCGTTTCTGCCTCTGCATCCTCTGCCTCTGCTCGACGTTACTCTCGATGTATTTTCGTTCGATTCGTCCCTTTCCCAGCTCGTATTTTTTTTTTTTTTTTACCTTTTACATAAAGTTTTTTACAACGGATAACAAATCGCGAAATGTCACTTTTAACAAGAAAAGGAAATTCCACATCCGCAGTTCAATCAGCGCAAAACACACACTTCGCGATGTTTATCAAACGTACGTTTCGTTAATTATCGATAAAGCTCGGCGCGTTGGATATACCTATCCCGTGTAAAACGTGACAAAACGCGATTTCGGAGAAATGTAAAAGCCGGCCTTTTCCGCCGGCAAACTCCGCGATGATGATGGTCTCCTGTTAGCACGGATATCACTTTTCATTTTTTTCATATCTCATCATCGGGTTTCTGTGGTTTGAGGTGGAACGGAGTATGGACAGAACGGATAGCCCTTTTTACCGCCTCGCCGGACCCTCTCTCGCCAACGGATCTTATTTCTTTTATCCGACGATAGACTGAACGAAGAACCGCCGCG